TAATATCACATCATACACATGGCCATGCATAAAGTAAAGTGATCACTATTGTTGGAAAACTGACTAGAGTTCAATTTCAGAGATGTGATTGGATGTGATAATTAAATTAGGCCATCCGGGTTCAATAAATACCCGTTATGGAAATCTGAAGTTTCATTTGATAATGTGCTGACACTTTCTCAATGTTAGATTTATGAAATAAATTGAATGGCAAGACATAACATTGAGATTGAGCTATAATACTTTGTGTTGATGAAAATTTCAAGAGTTAATAGTTTTTGATTTTCATATATACGAAAGAGTAATAGGCGACCAGAAGTTCACCAGAATAACTTATATATTATTTTCAAGTATTAGGTGACCAAAATCTCACCAAATACACTATTTAAGTCTTCAAAGATCTTGAAGATCACCACCTAGTATAATTACAAGCAAGTGATTTACGCTTGTATACTAATTCTATTGATTAGGGCTATTATATGTTAGCACATAAGAAATAGGAGAAGAAGGAAAAACATACAACTGCATAACACATGTCTCCCCATTGACATTGATCTCCAAAAGAGAAAATATTATGGAAAATTTAATAATAAATACACATGAAATGTAAAGTTATTGAATAAATGATTTTTCATTGAAATTGTTCTCCGGAAGAGATAAATCTTGTTTAATAAAAATCTTCTGAGAGATAAATTTTGATTGTGATCCTCCCAATGAATGAATTTTAATACAAATTTATATACTAAGTTGGTATAGAATTAGACGCCCCTATAAAAGAAATATTTTACCAACTTAAGGGGAGAAAAATCAGCAAAAGTTGGAAAAATCGAAAAATAAAAATTTGATGATCCCTATAATGGTAGTTTGAAAAGTTATATGCCAACTTTTGTCTATATACTATCAAGATATGTTGCACATTTATGATTTGATTTGTATTCAATTATGACTCATGTTACATAACGTTGAAGATACATTTTGGTCATATTAAATTATGTGTATACATTAAGATAAAATCTTGCCAATTATACACGAAACACTACACCTGAAGTGTGGGTTGTATGATCGGTTCCAAAATATAGATATGATATGTGGCAAGATAGTGCACTTAACACTTTTAATAGTGTAATAGTATATAAATACCCCAAAAGTGGTATAGATATCAGAATTGTTATAATAGATGCCTTATGATGTAAGAAAAATTATGATGGTACCAATGAAAAATGTTTTCAGATATCATTGTCAAAATAGCATGCAAATTAAAATTGTACCTTGAGAAATTATATGATGATACCGGTATAAGATGGAACCAATAAATAATGCATATGCATGACAGAATGGACTAGTGAATAAAGGGTCTGAAATATATGTCCATTTTGATGTCAACATAATGATAATCATGATAAGTTTATCACGGACCAAAAGTCCAATGAAATATGGATTTTTAAATCCACACTGTACAGTGTCTTGCATTATTTTGAGTCTTATGTATGTTCATATTCATATATGAGTCTAGGTTAATGTATTATTGAAGGTATAATTATAATGGTTAAGGCAATTTTAAACAGAGATTTCGAATGAAATGTGGACAAACACATGTATTATTATTATTATTATTATAGGTATGGTGATATGAAGACTCACTTGTTCGCGTGAAAATTTGAAGATTTTGGAGGATCAAAAATCAAGGAATGATACTATTCTACGTTATGTGAGAAGACACTCAACTATATTGGATTCATTGCATTAGAAGACCTCAAGTTATGTATTGATCGGGGGAGAAATTACTCGCTATACTCTTTTTCCCTTATCCATGGTTTTGTCCCACATTGGATTTTCCTGGTAAGGTTTTTAACGAGGCAAAATTTCGAGCATATTACGAAGAATGTTGTACTCTTTTTCTATCATTAGGTTTTTATCCCACAGGGTTTTTCCTAATAAGGTTTTAACGAGGCACAGTCTTCGATAATGGACATCCAAGGGGGAGTGTTATGAAATATTTGCGGATATCCATTATCTCCTTGTATTATTTCGAATATTTTAGATCTAGGGTTTATAATCTTATCCAACAAAACCCTAATTTTATATATATAATATATATATATATATATATATATATATATTATATATATATATATATATATACCCAATCATTTGAAATAAAGATATACAGATTAATTCTCTTTCAATCTCTTATGTTTCTCCTTATTTCACAACATGGACCACATATGTAGAGAGTAAAATAAGTTTGCTTTACATTGATGCATCCATATATATTTGATTTTACTAGTTTCTTGAACAAAAATGTGTACAAATTATTTATTTATTTTATTACATTTTATATGAAATATTGTTCGATTTGTCACAATTATTCAATTTTTAAACATATACTTCATCTGTTCCATTTTATATGACACATCTCATATATATATATATATATATATATATATATATATATATATATATATATATAATACATAGCTTGTGATTTTTTAATCACAACATTGCATTGGAAAATTGTGGAGATTTATAATGAGACAATCAATTAGGAGTAAACTGAGTACTTCCATTTTTATTTTTTTTAAGTGTCCCACGTTGACTTTTGCACTATTCACATAATCTATTTTGACCAATTTTAATGATTTATGCATAAAAAAAAATATTATAGTCATGTGGATGATTTTTGGAATCGTCTAAATGTATAATTTTTAAATATCCACTTTTTATGACATATATAAATTGATAATTAAATATATTATTGATTAAAATTCTACATTACATGTCCAATCCAATGGGATCACTTAAATAGAAATAATAGTGACATTACATTTGATCAACCTTTTTTATTATTTGTAAGCTCTTTCCATATCCTTTTCAATTTTCATCTTCATTATTTCTACAATGATATTGTTGAGTATACAATTATGGATTATTACATACATGTACGCCTCGATCCACCACACTTATATATGTCTTTCGAGTTTTCGACCGTCTCCCGCCATAATACATAAAAACGCCAAATTTTCATAATAATAAAAAAAAAAAAGCAAAAAGCAAAGTAGCAATTCACTTTTTTATTTTATTTTATTTTTATTTTAATCAAGTATGATTTTAGGTTTTTAATTAAATTATCCTAAAAGTGGATCTTTTTATTCGCAAATTAAAAGTTGTATCAATCATTTTCCTCAAAAAAAAAAAAAAAAAAAAAAAAGTAAAATTAAAAAAGAATATTGTATCAATCATTTCCTCATTTACTTCATTAGTTCTCTAAAAGTTGAAAGTGCAACAAGTCCAATTCATTTTTTTTTTTATTTTTTTTTAATTTTTATTAACAAGTCCAATTCATCTTTAATGCTTGAAAGATGAAACAGTCAACTATCCATCTCTCCAATTTACCTATAAATTCTAGAAAAAAAAAAAAGTTTGTTAATTTATAACAAAATGACGAGGTCAAAGATACATGTATGTACCTAAGTACGTAACAAATAAATGGTCAAACTAACTTTTCTTCAAGTAGACTTCACCGGAACTTTGACTCTTTCTAATTAAAAAAAAATAGAAATTGATCATTATATTTGATCTAGTACCTCGTCCGAGTCTTATCAGCAAATAATACTTCTCCAAATTTTATACAAGTGACATTTATAAAACTAAAAAAAAAAAAAAAAGAATAGACCATTGGTTGCCCACTTATGTCACTTTATTCGAATAATTTTCAGTCAAAATAATTTCAGTTCAGCAAATAAGGAGCAGATATATATTGATGTTAGAGATATAACATAGCGGAAAATATATGTGTGATATATTTTCCGTAAATATCATTAAGTAAATAATATAAAAAAAATTAAAAAGATTTTCGGCTCTCTTGTGTCGTGAGACAAGACATATAGGTTCTCCTTGTACCGTGAGACAGGGTTTATATTGGTTCTCCTTGTGCCGTGAGACAAGGATTTTAAATGTTTTGAGTGTGGTTTACTCGAAAAACCAATATTTGTTTGGAGCTCGGTTTTTCTCAAGAAAAACCAAATGAAATACGACGAGTTCGAGAAAAAAAGACGTTCTCATTGTAATTTTTTTGCAGGTTCGAAAAAAATGACGTTCCTGCTTGGTTGATGATTGATGGATTCAAAAGCTGAACATTCTCATCATTCAAAAAAAAAAAAAAAATGAAGGCGACATCAACAGAGTAGTGCATCTCGATCGACTTTAACAAAAGTGAAAAAAATGAAGGCGACATCAACAGAGTAGTGCAACTCGATCGACTTCAACGAAGTGAAGAATTTTCAATCGCAACATTCGATAGCTGTGCCCGACCGGGCGGATTAAAGCGTTTTTGAAGGTGTACTCGCACCCTGCCAGGCGGGCGTTGCCCGACCGGGCGAATTGACTACAGGAATTTGATAGGTTTCACGCCCAGCCAGGCGGTGGTTTGCCCGACCGGAAGGCGGGACGTCAAGGTTAACGAGCCTGGGAAGTTGCCCTCGTGCTCGGTCAGGCCACGGCCGGGCGCGCCTTTTTTCCGGAGTCGGTTTGTATATTTTGTCTTTTATTTTTGGTGACATATATATATATATATATATATATATATATATATATATATATATATATATATATATTATCATTGATTCACAATACAGTATCATTGAACCCTAAACACATAAACACAAACCTACCCTTTTGAGATGTGAACATCGTTGTGTAAAACTTGGGGGGCGTGCGTCACTAGGATACCTGTACCGGTGGTGGCGTATTTCGCTTCTAAGTCAGTGGGTACCAAACCACGGCACAATTGAAGGAGGACATGTTTTTGATTTTGAGTATGGCGAATTTGTTCCAGGGAAGTTTTTGATTTGTCTATTATTACTCTTGGAATCAACAGGTATTTTTCCAACAATTTAGAAGCGAAATAGTATTAATTTTTATACTATTGATTTCCTGAATTAGGGACAAATTACAATCTTGAGAAACAAGAAATTTGAACGGCGTGTAATTGTCAAATTAGAAGAACCCTATTTATTTATTTTATTTATTTTTTGATAAGATAAGGTATACGGGCTTAATAATTCCTCTATCACATAGAAGGTTCATTAGAATCTAAAAGTCTCCCTGTCACATGAAAGACTGATAGATTAGAAGAATTCTGATTAATGAGTACTGCATGCATTGTTCGAATATATTTTTCGAGAAAAAGGGGAATTTATTGGCGCATAATTTATAATATTGATTTTTTGCGTCGGAATTTCTATTGGAATTTATGATCTTGTTCCGTCAAATAAATCTACAGAGCAAGGAGCTTCTTTTTGATCTGATGATGCGGTGTTATCGGCAAAAAAGGTTTAAGATGATGTCAGATAATAATTTCAACAGAGTAATTTTGGTTACAAGCCTTAATTCCTTGTTGGATATTGGTTGCTGTCAAGTTGCATTGTGGATTTGTGGTGGAATTAATCAAATAATTTCAATTGTGGGAACATCAATATAATCCCCACGTGGCATGCTACATAGTAGTTCCTTCGCCGAATGGAGAATCCCTCAAAGTGGTGTTAAAGGATTGTTGATTATTATTATGTGCCCCAAGTATGCATAATTTTATTATTATGAAATATTGCGGCAATGTGGGGGTTGAGTTAGTGTTTTCCCGTGTTGGTGAGTATTTTGAGATGGGGAACCTTTTTTGAGCTCTTAGTCTATAGCTAAGTGATATTTGTGTTGTTAAATTACAAGTACCTTTTTTATGCAACTTGTTGTGTGCTTTGTTTAATCATGTATGATTATGTGCTTTGCAATTTTTCCTAATTGATTAGGGATGTTAATTGTTTTATTTTTTGATAGTTTTTGTGTTGAATTGTTTCCCTAATCTTAAAAAAATATTTGTTGAGCATGGAGTACGTTGTGATAAGCTTGTGAGGTTCCTTGTTGAGATTTAGAATTATTGTTGTTAATTCTTGTGGTTTTTAGTTTAGCTTATATTTTGAACTTGAAATGTGTATAACTACTAGAGAACTAGCATTTGACTTTTCATGTTGAAGGTCTAGAGGGACCGGATTTTCTCCATACTGGAGAGCAGAAGTGAAAGGTATGATTTGACAAGGACTAGTAAGGTTGTACAAGTCTAAATGTTATGGACTCCATATGCGGTAAGAATAGAAATTAAATTTCTATGTCTTCAATGTTGATTTTATATCATGTGAATATTTGCTATGTGGGGGTAGTTTTATAGTTTAGGTTGTTATACTAGTAAAATGTTATTCACCCAAGTTGTTAGTTGTCTCTCCTTGAAATTTTGACAGGAGTTAGGTTTTATCACAAGGTGTGATGTGTGGGGGTTTTTTAACTTTGAAGTTTATTCTGTAAAGTACGTTTCATACGGCATGTGTGATCAGTATATATGTTGAACTATGAGCTATGTGTGTAAGTTTGTATGACTTTAATATGACTAATCATGTATGTGAAGTTTCTCAAGTACAGTTTATATCATGTATTAACCTGTTACCTCGGTTGATCATGTGGGTGTTCTTTGTTTCTTAAGCTTTGGTGTGGCCAGTGTAGTTGATGAGTGAATCAACTAAGGTAAGTATAATGACTAAAGCATGAACTAGTTTTTTTATCTTGTGTTTACTTTCTTGTTTGAAAGGTTTAAATGGATTGATTTCTTGGTATTCTAGTAATGGTGGATAGGAATCTGGAACCATATGAATAGACCATGATAAATGTTACTTGAACTAGTTTTGAAGAGAAAAAGCATGTTAACTTAAAAGTAAGCTCTTGTTGAGTTTTATGTGCTTGATATTTATATGTCTTGTCTTGCCATGAAATGTCCTTCAGTTGTAAGTGCCTTTTAAAGGAAATTGGAAGGTTTTTGTTTGCATTGGAAGGAGGTTGAGGGTAAGATATTGTGTTTTCACAGTATACATGTAAGTTTGGTATTGACGCAATTTTATTACTCACTTGTATTATGAGTTTGTCATATTTGCAGTGAGGTTGCGTAGGCTTTCTAACGTGATTGATTATAAATCATGGTATTTGTTAGTGATGCAATTATATAAGACAACTCAAGGTATAAGGTATAACCTTCATATATTAAATTAAATTTTGCAATTAATATGGTGAGTGGACTAGACAAGTCATGTGGGGATCAAGCGTAAGTACCCAAACTATGTCAAATATTTTTCATTCTTGGCATGCTAATGCACTGATGTAATGCGTGTGTGTGTTTATTATGATGAGCATTGATGTTGGTCAGATGCTAGACTAATCATATGTTGTTCGTTAGATGCTAGCCTAATCATATGTTGTTGATTACACATGTATTGTATTGGTTTATTGAGATTGATGGTCTTAATTTTTATCCATGCCAAGATGAAAGTATGAGATAATGAGATGAATGGTATTATTCTGGGTGGTAAGATCATTGAATCGACCAAGGTATGTATCAAGCTCATTCTCACTGTGTAGAGAACCTGATTTGGTGAATAAGTTGCTCATGTTAAAACCTGAGTTGTTGGTGTGGATTAGCTTTAATGTTTGATTCAATATGCAGAAAGAAATTTGTTGGTTCACTAAATTAATCTGTCTAGATAGCATTTTCCAATCGTTGTTGGGGTTGGAGCAGTGTAGGGGACAAAGGTTAAGTAAATAACAAAAATTATGATTTCCCTACCAGAGTATGTTTTTATAGGTTGATGGGTTGTACTCTGTTTTGATTTATTTGCAAAGCACATCGTCAGCTTCGTTCTCTCTCCGTTGACCGTCTTTGGCATGTCGCTTGGTGCGGTTCTTCCTCTTCTCTTGCCATCGAGGTTAGTCTCTCTCCTTTTTTTTTTGTTTTTTTTTTTTTTTAATTTCATCTAAATTTCGGTTTTTTAGGAATTATTTTCTAATTTAGTGATATTTTTCCGGATTTTATCTGGAATTTTTAGTTGATTCTGCTTAGTTTGATGATTTAGGATGATTTTGCGCTGTTAAATTTGGGAAAAGAGAAAAAAAAAAAAATTGGATTCATTTTTTATTTTTATTTCATTATTATTTCGATTATGTTGGAATTCATCTGCGAAATTTCGGTTTGTTAGGTTGATTTTGCTTAATATGATGATTTAGGAATTTAGGTTAATATTTTGCCTGTAAATTCGAGCAAAGAGAAATACTTGTATTTAATTTTGATTTTAATCTTCTAATTTCTAAGTGATTAATATATTTCGGAATTTAGCTGTAATATTTCCGTTTTGTGGTTGATTCTGCTTAATTTGATGACTTACTATGATTTTGTGCCTTTTAAATATGAGCAAAGAGAAATAACTGGCTTGGATTTAATTTTAAATTTAATTTCATCAATTTTTAATTATTTGCTTTAATTTGCTGAAACTTTTTGCAATTTAGCTGCAAATTTTTGTGAATTACTATGATTAATTACCAGCAAAGAAGAAAAAAAAAAAGGATTTCATAGGACTTGTCAAATTCTTGAGTGAATTTTTTTGTTATCATCTTATTGATAAACTGATTTTAGACCAAATTGCAGGGGTTGTTGGTGACTGGTGCGTGAGGTGACTGGTTGCTGTTGTTTCTTGTTATTGTTGCGGTGGAGGTGCAGCGAGGGGCTGATGGTACTGTTGTTGATTTTATCCATGGTTTTCTTGTGGGGAGGGTTGTGGATGATAGAGAAATAGCTGTCCAATTCGTGAAATATGGTCCAAATGCAGAGAAAATGTAAGTGTTACTATTATTTTAATGTGTCTCGAATTGCTATGTTGTTTGGGTGTTCATGGTGTATTATATTGTGGTTTGAATCATATATGTGTGCGAACTAGTAGTTATCTATAATCAATAGGATTATTCATATTTAAGTATAGGTATGGTCTAGCTTAAATTTGACTCCTAGCTAGTTGATAATAAAATGAAGCTAAGTTCTTATTTAACAATTCTTTGAATGTTTTGTGTTTGTACTTTGAAGACTGTAATGTGTTTTGTGTAGGATTGACATGCCCTAATGCACTATAATGACTTAAAGACAGTATAATCATTCAGGTCATCAGGTGGTTTCTTCCACAGAGGATGTATCAAAGACCATTGGTCTGAACCTGTTAAAACTCTCCTACACCCTTATCAAAGACCTTTAAGATGTCTTAATGCTGATAATTCGTATAAAGATCCCTTCGTATTCAACACCCGAAAGTCCAGAACTTGATTAAGGTGTCAGTTTCAATTTATAAGATGATATGGAGTGAAAAATGATTAAGGTATAGACGTAAAGTAAAATTCAAGTGATATGCGAGATTACTAGGTTTGAGTGGTTTTCTAGAGGAGAAACAGTGAGCATGTAAGCAATGAACAGGGCACTTGAAGATGAAAATGATTTAATGATGAATGTGATGAAAGAGATTCCTGTCTGACATTGGTATATTATGATATCTGCTTCTATTGGATGCACCCTTTGAAATAGTGTTTGTCATAATGCAAATCTTTTGGAAATTTGTAAGAATTTTTAATGAACCTAATTCTATGATCGACATTAGAATGCAAATTAAATGGAATGTGATCAAGGTCCTTGCTTAATCCAAGTAAGATTAATAGTATACATTGAATGGGTAGACATGGAACCTGATTAGTTGTACGGAGTATTACATTGTAAGATTGGATGCGTAATATGGTTGAGGTGTGTTTTGAGTATGTCTTGGGTTCTGTCTAAGAGTTCAGCTTTATTTGAGTTATTGACTCTTAGTTTAAATACTTATATGAATGCTTACTTGACTTCTTAGTTTATATAATTATATGAATACTTACTTGACTTCTTGTTGTGATCTTTTTAGCTTTGGATAGTGTATTATTGACCTGATAGGAAATTCTTCCTTTGTAGTCTGAACTCTATTTGTAGTCTGACTGATAAAATGGCATTGAGGATTTTGCTGGCTAGCATTAAAGGACTCATTTTTGTAGTCTGAACTCTCTATTGATACTTTGTTTGCCTACATTTCCAACTTTGAGTAGCCACTTTATTAACCGATTGTTTTTCAGTTACTTGGCATGAATTACTTTTGTTTCTAATCTTCATTGATTTGATGTTGGTTGACAAGTATGTCATTGAGATGGTTTGATTTCTTTATTTTGCAGCTGTAACCTTCTGAGAATGGCTATGTCAAGAACTATCATTTACATAGCTGGTTCACATACTCCATACTTCTTCTGGTTTTAAGCACAGCCGATTTTTGCCTTGTTGCTGTTCTGCTGGAGCTGCTGTCCCTGCTGCTCTAAAAGCTAAAATTGTATATTTTATTTTATCATTATTTTGCAGGTGTAAAGTTACAGTTATTAATGAAAATATATGAGTTTTATGTTTATTACTTATATATATAAGTGTTTGGCGGTCAACTCAAGTAAAAAAACCAAAAAAAAAATAAAATAAATAAATAAATAAATTTTTTTGGGTACTAAAGGACAGCGGTTTGGCCCACTGAACCGCTGCATTACGCCTTACCATCCACCTGTAAACAACAAATGGGAAGTGGTTTGGAGTGTGAACCTCTGCCCATTTCCTCTAAATGGGAAGTGGTTTGAACCGCTGCCCATTACAAGGAGGCAATGGGCGACCCCCTTAGCCCTAGCAGTTCAAAACTGCTTGGCAATTGCATTTTTCTACTAGTAGAAGTATAGTGGCGATAAAACTCTATACAACAATTTTATCTTAAAAAATCTATCCAAAATTCGTTTACTTAGCATCACATGTGTCACAATAATACTTAATTTTCGCCTATGTGACGTGGCACTTGGCGAATAACTGGAATACCAAGTGTCGTTTCGTGGCCTGACTACGAGACCGACTTTATTTATTAGTGATATGATATGATATGATAGATTTGAACTTTACAGTTAGTAGAGTAGATTAGGAGAGAGAAATAGAGAATTTAATTTGTTGTTAATTTTTAGAGACTATTATTCTAAGAAATTGTGGTTTTCTTTTTGCGCAAAAATAAAAAAATAAACTTCGTATTAAATTGGGCTTACTCCAACCATATTCTAAGTGTTACACTTTTCATGATTAACTCGTTTTTTTTTTTTTTAAGTGCTCTCCTTTTTCCAAATTCAATCTTATACCCCAATTTAACAACATATTCTCCCGTCAAAGAAAAAAAAAAACATATTCGCCAACACGAACCTTTCACTAATAATATCTCTACTTATTAGAAATATAAATCCAAACCGTTTTAAAAGTATGAATAAAATCTTATGAATAGTGTTTAGACGATAACATAATTATTATCTTTACCTTTAAAATAATTTAAGATAACTCTTATGAATAATGTTTAAAATATATACTTTTAAAAATGTTTATTTACTCATTCGCTCTTATTAATGTTAATTGCCCTATTTTAACTCTTAAGAATAGTGTTCAAACATATATATCAGTAAAAATATTTATTTACATATTTTCCCTCATTATTGTTACTAACAACTAAAGTTATGACATAGGGCCAAAACACTAAACCGAAAGAGCTCCTTAGCTATATCTAAAGATGGCATTGGGCCGGGTCGGCCCAAGGCCCGACATGAAAAAAGCCAAGCACGTTACTGTGCGTACTGGGCCATGGGCTGCCTTTATTAGGGAGAAGCACGATAAGACACGACATGACTTGACCCGGCACGATAAAGCACACTAAAATCAATGAAAATTTGCTTAGGCACGCAAGCCCGACATGTGGACCTAGGCCGTGCATGATCTAACCTTTTGAAATGGGTCGGGCCTCATTGAACCCAAAGCACGTGGGCCCACACGAGGCACGATCCGACACGGCCCAAAGCCATCTTTAACTATATTAAGTCATGATGCGCACATTGTGCGCGTTTATAATAAGTTGATATTCGAAAATTATAACTACATTTAATCTAATGTACTGTATAAAACACAAATGAAAGTCAAAATGATACGAGTGCACTCGTATGTGATTTAAGCAAAAATTAAAGTTGTCATTTACTTCGTATTTTGTAATTGAAGGGATACAAATTTTAGGGGTGGGGGAATAAGTTGAAGAGAAAAGGTGAAATAAAAATTTAATAGGTAAGGAAGATATATGGATATAGAAGGGAAGGTGAATGATGATCAATTTTATGTCATCAATCTAGATTGTATTTCGTATTATTTTATTGAATAATTGGTTGTAACATGTGAACGAAATGCAATTGGCTGTGTTTTGAGTTATGGTCTTATGGACATTCCTAGACAATTGTTCTCTTTTCCTATTTAATTAAACTCCCTCAACTCCTCAAGTTTCAGGTAATTAACCACCCCTTAAGTATCGTAGTTGGAAGGACCAATTTTGTGAACCTAAGGTTACGTAGTTAATCCTCAACTAAGTACACCAAATCTTGTTTGAAATTACTATGGACTATGGAGTACTGGGTTATGTAATTATGTCAACTGGCAAGTATACTACTTTAATAGTTTTTCCGTAACATAAAGGAAAGTAAACTGACTACTTGAATTTAGACCCTTGATCGGGTCTTGGCTTTTGGAACAAAAAGGGAATGACAAAAGAACCTGAATCACACTACAAGAAATTCGACTTTGGGCAACCACTAAACTCGAAGCCCAAAACCAGTATTTCGTCGCCCAAACCCTTGGGCAACGAAATGGGTCTAGACATGGGTCCGAAGCCCTAAGGTCGAAGCCCATTACATATTGGGCGACGAATGTTTATTTCGTTGCACAAAGGTTACTTTGTGCAACGAACACGTTAGTTGCCTATGATCTGTTCATTTCGTCGCCCATAATATTTTGGGCGACGACCAAGTTCGTTGCCCTATATTTGATACTTTGGGCGACAAATTATTTTCGTTGCCCATAATATTTTGGGCAACGAAATTAATCGACGCCCATCTTTGCCCCAATGGCCCAATATGCGTTATGTCGTTGCCTATAGTACTTTGTGCAACAAAGTTACTCGTTGTCCATATTTGTCGGTATCGATCATATGCTTTTTAATAGGGTCGAGTGTTTTTATTATTTTCTTACTATGGGTAGTACAACCTATTAAAAAACAAATAAATCTGAAAATGAATTCAAATACCAAACATTTTGAATAATTATTATATGAAATAGTTTAATTTATAAAAACATATTAAGAAAATGTGTAAATTATAAGATAATCCCACTTTGTCAACAAGGTACATGATCCTTTAAAAATTAAATAAAATAACACTAATTACAAACTTAATTACATCGACCCCTTCTCAACGCTGCTCATATATACCACCTTCAATAGTTGCGATCATCCATCTTTCGAATTCATTGCTAGCCCATGTTATTCCTATGTAAGTGAAACATAAGTTAGTAACATCAAAATAATTATTGAAAGCATCCGATATTTTAGTATATAAATCATGCAATCATTTTCACAAAAATATATACTAGTTATTTTCACCTTGCGAATGAGGATATATCAAAGGGGATGCAAGAAGAATTTACATTTCCTTTCAAAAAAATAATATACCTTTGTCCTACAAAATTTGAGACTCAACATACCTCAGAAAAATTCATTCCAAATGATAAAGCATACCTCACGAAAATTCATTGATGATGAACACGGGCCTCCACCCAATGCTTGCCTAAAAAATCCACAAGCTTTTTTCCTGAATCTAGAATTCGACACTCAAAATGTATACTACTAAGTTGCCACAGGATCAGTTATAGGTTTGGTTATGTTATCAGGCTCTAGGTCAAGCTTTTTGACCTGAGCCAGACCAACGCACAATAGATATTGACTAGTTATATCAGGTTTTTAAAACCGGTCTATATTCAGATGAAGCTATAAATTTTGTGACTGGCTCGGAATTAAGCTTGGTAAAGAAGCTAATATGCATATGCCCAAAGATCCCAATAATAGAAATCAGATTTAAAACCATTTATCCCTACATCACACAACAATATCTTTGAACTGAAAGGGTATTTTATCAGTACTCTAACACCAGAAAGCTTGCACAAACAACGACCAGAAACCAAATATGATGTTTGGTACAAACGCCCAGACAAATCAATCCCAACTCTAAACACATGGCACATTAACAAATTAATCTTGTTAATTACCACAACAGCAACCCTAATAACAAATGATAAGGAAAAGAATGCTAAACTATGCCAAGTTTCTACATAAATAAAAAAAAGCAAGTACTGAAATGAAAAGTGTTATGCTAAACTATACTATGCTAAATTTTGCCAGAGCTTTATTTTTCGGAAGGGAAAGGGGATAGCATATGTACTTCATCGAAGGGGAGAGTCACAAGTTCCTGCTTCAATTGTTTATTCAATTTCTAGGAGAAGAATATGATAGCACAATCAGAAAAGTAATAGTTCGTATTGCAAAATACACATCGACCTATAAAAAACTCTTTTTTATGTCAACTAATAATTATCCCTCTTTCTGAACAAGAGTTGTCTTATGTTATTGAACATACGTTAAGTGAATCAATGGAGTTTAACATTACTAACAAGCCTCATGTGTCTAAGATCGATAAGATTATCATACATAGTACTAATTGATTAGAATTTACACTGTAATTGTAAAATGGCAATAAATTACACGGGAATAACTTCATCTTCCGCCAGTATAGCTTGTAAGTTACCAAATCTGATGTTTCTAAAACTTCCTATGAAAATACAAGTAATGCAAAACCAAAGTTGCAGATAGAGGAACACAAAGGCGAGAGGGGATTCTGCATACTCAGCCGACAACTTAAAATACATATAGTCGGCTGAGCAGAGGAGTCATCTATTAACTCTACTCTTTCACAGGTTCATATAATAGCTCCATGCACTTATCTCCAGTTAAAGTTGTGGTGATAGTCAGGACAATGAGATGAACACAGTCGTGGTAAGGAAAAATAAAGGACGATAAAATATGAAGCAGAATCAACCAGCAGTGCTTCTCAATGTCCTAATGATAGTAGGCTTGTAAAGGTCGAACAGAGGCAACAAAAGAAAAGAAGGAAAAGTTCGAGGTTTAAGGATAAGACACGTGCTATGCTAAAAAGGATGTAAGAAAGAACCCAATGCTACAGAAACAGTCAGGCTCTACAGAGGAGAGTGATGGGGATGATGATAGACACCATAGACATAGTATACAAGGACTAGGTCCAATTCCAAGAAAGAGTAAGATCTTGGAGATATTATATTTTACATGTTTATAGAAGTGAATTATATTTGACTGCATACTCCATCCAACTATTCAGTATGCTTGCTTCATAAACTTCATAAAAAGCTAATAGACACTACCAAGAACCATAACAGCAACAACACACAACAACATATTTTTTTTATAATAACTAAAAATATATATCTCAAATAGAAGATGAGTAAGTGTCATACCTAAGTTGCTCAAACATTTTCATCATATCATCTCTGAGCTTCTTTTCACGTTTCTGAGCTTCTATGTTGATTCTAGATACGGTCGCTTTAAGCTCATCATTTGATGCTATAAGCTCTTCATTTGAGGTTCTAAGCTCTTCATTAGATTCCTTCAGGGATTCAATCTGAGATACAAGTACACCCTCACGTGTTGCGGCATCCTCTTTTAATTGTTGAA